TATTAAGTGCTGTGTTCAATGCATTCTGCAAAATATGTATGGCGCACCATTTTTATATGCGTCATTGTTTTTGGCCCAGAAATATTTGTATGGGCTATTAGTTTCGCCTCTGCTTACCGATTTATCTGTTCGATTTGATGTTTGCATACTAACTACAATGTTAAGTCAACGGACTGGACGTTCGTAGAAGAATTTGTAAATTTAGTATGCTAAACGAATTTGAGGAATGATGTCTTGTCTTATATGCTAATCTCAGTTCCATGTTCCTTGGGCTTTTTGAATAGTGCTCAATTCAAACGCAGTAAATTCACGTTGAAGCAATCAGAAAAAAGCATCAATGTCACCCAGAGTGAGTAAACTTGCCCGACAATAAAGGACTTGCTCAGTCGTTGTCTATGGCAACACTGTTGCTGTCCCAGTGCTGGTGGAGGGAGTTGCAAATATCTAATTCATAACAACAATAGCAGCGTTTAAACAACTCCCAGCAGCGTTTAATGAATTGTTGAATCATTAAAACTGGAGTTCGGAATGGACTACCTATTAATGCTGTGTCATTTTGCTAGGTGATAATAGAAAGTGCTTGGTTAAACTTAAAGCGGGCACTTAAATACTTGTTTGTATCCAAAACTTATATTCACTGAGGTTTTAATTACGATAGGCGGATATAAGCACTGATTGTTCCTTTGGGCGGAAAACTCAAGCAGAGTTTTTAGGTGTTCTATTTAAGTTAATACGTTTTACAAGGTTTCAAATACGAAAAGACAAGACTAAGATAATGTGGACAATTCGGCCTAATACTGTAGGGTCTAAATGATATCCGGAAGCTAGAGGACGTCTAGAACCTCGTTCTTAACCTATGTACCATAGGAGTTACACAACCGCATATTTGAAGGATATTTAAAACGTGTGACCGACTGTGTTTGATCTTTAATTAACTAAGTGAAGAGCTCAACAGCTTTAACTAAGTCGCTTTAATGATCTGCCTGCGGAAAGGAACGTACTAGTCTTGTTTTTCCTTCACTGTTCTCTCTGGGGTCCTCTCATTTTTTACGTGAGGGCAAACTAGATAAGGGGAACAAAAATGGCTGGTTCTACATAGGCTTTCATAATCAAGGAGTCAATGGAACATGCATCTCAACTGTATTATGTTCATTTGCTTGGTGATTCAAATACCCAGCACCACCTGACGTGGATTTGGTTAAAGTCAACCGATGAGGGTGGCTTCATAGCTGTACCTCCAGTTTTCGCCGTCCTTGTTAGCATGCGACTACAGCAAGGACTGTGATGTGATGCCCCGCATCAAGGCAAAACAAGCTTATCCTACGCATCCCCCTGACGTCAAATGTAAAATAGTTGGGAAAAATGGCCGCACCATAGATGAATTGAATCATTTTGCGCCAACCCTAGTTTATGAGTCGAATTGTGCAACATATTCCTGACGGCTGCAATGTAGATGCAACGATCTGTCCTGCTGGCAGTCTGGAGTTCTGCCTTATATCAGGTTTGACATGAATTCCCCGCGCAAAAGTCTGATAGCGTTTTGAAACCCATGAATAGACAGGCGTTAGCGTAAAACGCTCTCTGATTAAAATCTTAGAATGTTGTTTTTTACACTGTTTTTGATAACCAGTTGTGGTTTTCGACTATTATAAATAGTCCTGCGGATGATTTAGACCTCCTACCTAACAGTGAAATTGTTGTCTTTTATCGAAAACGGGTGAGGCATCAGTTCACACGTTTAGTTAGATTTAAACGAGAATGTGCCATGATATTCTCATTTTCGCAAATGAAGCCAATTAACCTATTCATGGCAATTGCATGAGTTTTAGAAAGAAAATCAGAAGTTTATTCCCCAATGTTCATTATGACTATTTTTAACTTTCATACAGTAAATCGATACCTGTTCAGACAAGGAAATGTCCCTTCTTGGTTTATGTTTTAGTAATTATTTCAGCCTTCGACGTTCAGCGTATCGTATTGTCTGAATAATTGATTCTTTTAGCGCTAGTGAAGTCTCCATTTGCGTTGGACCCCGGTCTTTAAGGATTAATTTTATTGGAACTGTCTGTTTAAAGCTAAATATCTTAACTCTACGACTCTCTACCGGCGACCTGTACAGTGAAGCCTGATATAGCTAAATGTAGGGACTATAAGGCATTCAGGGGGGTAAAAGTTCTCGCTGTGAAAGAAAAATACGGTAACTGTACTTGATGATTTGTTGGCTAAAAGTAGTAGCAGCTTTTTACGCCGAAAAAGAAAACTGGGATTTTTTTTACAAGAACAATGCATTTTTTGGATAGTAGTGCACCCTCATCTAAAAACGGCTCTTCAGTTTAAATTGATTGAAACGTGCCATTTTTTTATTGCAGGTTAGTCCAACAGCTACATGCCTTAAAACAGAAGCTCAATGTTATTTGCATTTTTCTGTGGGCTGTCCTTGGCTCCTGTTATGACAATTTGACAGACCCCTATGTGGATGTTTCAAAAGACGCTCTTCCGACCGAAATCTCAATGGCCTACCTGAACTGGATTCGAAGCCATCGTCCATCCGCAGCCCCTTCCTCTAACTCCTTACTAAACGACCCCGAGCAGTTGTCTGGTGCAGTCATTGTCCCCGAATATCCACAGCAAAGACAATCAGATTTGTTGGAAAGGTACAAAGAAGTTGAGAGGAACCTGCAACTTCAAACTGCAAAACAGTACGGGACAGCATATCCCTCCAGACCTTTCACGACGATCCTCATGACAGCCGCGCCTATGGTCAAGGATGTTGACCTCTCAAAAACTGTTTCAACAAACACCTCTAAAACCGGAAATAGTTCTAGTCCCTACGGACCGGTCACATCTGGTATCATTGGCCTTCTGACGGTGGTAGTCTCCTTCATCACAATCGGTGGAAATGTGTTAGTCATAATGGCCTTTTTCCTGGAACGCAATCTTCGAATGCCCACTAACTACTTTATCGCATCTCTGGCGGTGACAGATGTCCTAATTGGGATTTTCTCCATGAATCTCTACAGTCTGTATTTATTACTTGGCTACTGGCCGCTTGGCAGATTACTCTGCGATCTCTGGTTGGGTCTGGATTATACCGCCTGTCTGACCAGTCAGTACACAGTTTTCTTCATCACACTTGACCGATATCTGTCGGTTAAAATACCTGCAAAGTACAGAAATTGGCGAACAGAAAAGAAGGTGTACGGCATGGTAGCTATCACCTGGATCATTCCTTCCTCCATATTTTTCACCACCCTTCTTGGCTGGCCCAAATTTAGCGACAAAAATCATGTGCGTGAAGATCACACCTGTTATGCTGAATTCTCAAACGATCCTGTCTTCAACACAATCCTCACTATTTCCTACTTCTGGATAACTCTAGCTGTCATGACTAGTCTTTACATAGGCATATATCACGTAGCACTGAATCTACAGAGGAAATCTGAGGCAAAACGCCAGAAAGTGAAGAATTTGGTCAATATGGCAGGACAGACAATGTCAAAGTTAGGCGTGACAGATGGCATAGCAAGACATGGCGAAACAAGCTACGAGGACTCCAGGGAATTGAATAGGAAAAGGAGCAGCAATCCGAATATGCCCGCTGCCGCCTCGTGTGCGCTTGAGTCGGATGGGCAGGGCGAATACCCAACGAACAATGTGCAAAATTGCTACCCTAGGGTAACGGAAACGTCAAAGCCCACGGGGGCTAATGCGGAAAGGCAGGCGATCGGAAGCGGTCAAGTGACTAAGAGAAGCAATCTCATTAATGATCGACCGCCCGATTACTATGACTGCGTGAGCCCCTCAAAAACGAATCAGAATTCGGCTATGGCTGACTGTCTTCCCTACTGTGGACCGAGTGAACCGGATAAAACAACTGTAAAAGCAGCCGGCAATTCAAGGCCAAGCGTGATTGCCCCATTAACACTTGCTAAATCGACTTTCACCAATGACTGTTGTTCAGAGGCTTCAACAAGTCAGGGTTCATACTGCTCACCTGCGGCATCACCGACATCGATTGTGGAGCCCCTTCTTACAGTTATTCGTTCGCCCTATTTGAATGATCTAGGGGAAGCAGAAACGTCTCTCGTTAATGGCAGGCATGAGCAAAGAGACGACTCTGGGGGACCACTTATCTCATTTCCGTCTTCGCCAGCAGTCAACATTTTCTCCGACTGTGACTCCTCTGAAAACAACAGTCCAGTATCTCTTGGCGGTCGCTTCAACAGAACCATCCCTGACATAAGACCCGTAATCCTGACGTCTGATTTGGCGTGCACAAGGTCGAACAGCAACCTACAGGAATGCGGCCTTCTGCAGCCTAACCAGGAAGGGGCATTAAATTCTGAGATTTCGAAAGCCACCCTCCCTACTTTGAATACGGACACATCAATCAATCCGTCAGAACAGAATTTTAACAAAGACATAGCCGCTATACAACCAACATCGAATCGAAGTGATTCGACGGACAGTCTTATGAAGGTTAGTCCCTTCCTCATAGCTCAACCGCCCAATAAAGAAACGCGTGAAAAGCACGCGTTATGCAATGAATCAGCGCCTGCTCTGCCAGCAGAAGTGTGGGAGCCGAGTGGAGCTGTATGCGGTCAGAACTGTCTGCCTCTTGCAACATCCGCCTCAGACGATCGAACGACAAGTCAGAATCCCAGTTATAATTCCATGTTCGAAACCACCACGCCTATTTATTTCGACACGGGTACCTCAGACAGCAATGCGGCTCTCTTAACAAAAGGGCATCCCCGAAATTCGGTCAATAAAGCTGCACGAGCACCAGCAGTAGAAACAGCCAATGCCTGTGGGACCATCAGAGGACGAGGCCTAGGCAACTGCTTTGGACAGTCAGGGAAGCAGAAGAATTTATTTTTGCGATCTGCCAGATACGTTTTTAGCAGGCGCAACCAAGGAAAAAGGAGTCCAACTCGAGTTGAACGTGGTAGGACGGAGAATAGGGCTCGAAAGGCCCTTAAAACTATCAGCATCATTCTGGGAGCTTTTGTCACCTGCTGGATACCCTATCATATTTTAATCCTAATCAAAGGGTTTTGCGACGATCCGGCAAGGTCGTACACTTGTGTTAATGATCATCTGTACAGTGTAAGCTACTGGCTTTGCTATATGAACTCCCCAATCAATCCCTTCTGTTATGCATTCGCAAATGTGCAGTTTAAGAAGACTTTTATTCGTATTCTTAAATTTGACTTCAGACGAAGATGAGAGGCAACCACTTCGACTCAATGACTTCCACCGTAGCCTCCCACCAAGCTTTAAGATTTGTACTTTTGTCAAAAGCAGAAACCGGTCTTCTTTCTTTGTTAAATAGAACATTCCTTGACGAACTTTCTCGTTCTTAATTCAAAGGAAGCTAGGCACATATGCAGAAAGTCGGGCGCCCCTTGCCATTGTTGTATAAACTTTCAGCCAACTGGTTAGACTAGTAAAACGTTTCACGCCTGATGTTTTTAATATTGATTAACTTCTAATGATTAATACTCAAAACTATACCGATCGTATAATATTATTTATCTAACCGACTGCGTTGACCAAACAGGAAGTCCTTATTTCATCATTTCGTGATTTTTATGTGTTTTCTATGCTTAGATTTGCTCGGTAGTGTTTTCGGGCTAGGGTGCAAGCAATTCTTTTCTTGTGTTGGGTCTTTAAAAAGGAAAATCTTCTGGCTTATTAGATTCATTCATTGAAGTGTTCAACCCAGGTAGTATGAGGTACATATTGTAAAACCCACATAATGACAGGTTATAAAGCAGAAGAGGTGTCAAAAAGGGACGAAAACTCCTTGATGATTAGCCGTCGTGCTTCAGCCATATTCAAACCTGATGTAGATGGCTCTGATCATTGAAAAAACCGAATTGGAGGAAAGATTTCAGCACGTTAATTAGCATTTTACATCCCAAACAACATAGTGCTGAGCCCGTTTTACTCTATAAATGCATTAAATCGTGAAACATTTGAGATTATTGCGTGATAAATCCTGTGACTGAGATGCCATCAACCTTGGTCACATTATACTTTCCAACTGATATCTTAGTCTATTTTTGATTAAAAGAGGATCTTCCCTCCAGAAGTCAAATAAAGATACCTAAAATTTGCCGCAAATCTTATAGTCTGACAGCCGTGTGGAAGTATAGAAACAATTGGCATATTTAGAGGTACACTGATGGTAATGGACGGATGCAGGTAGGCTCATCAAGCACGACATGATTATCATTAAAATATTAGCTTAAATAGGTGTTTCATGAACATCGTCTGTAGAGCACTTGAAACGATGTATAAATTCACTTGATAACTAACCCTGTTATAACAGTGTCTCAACAAGTTTCTTTCGTTTTCCACCTCACAGTTAAACGATTGCCAAACTGCATAAATTTGGAAGCTCAACGCAGTTTAAATAATGTAGCCCAAAATTTAAAAGCCCTTTGGGAAAGTGCATGTTAAAAAGCTTTCAGTTCACTTCACGGATAATTTCGTTAAAAATTCGCTTGAACTTTTTCTACTTTGGCAAGCCTAGCATTCAAAATGAACTGTTTATTTGTGGTGGGGTTTAATTTCTCCTAGTTCCCTGGTAAGAATAATTGACTACTTGAATCGCAGATCCCGAAATTCGTTTGTCTCTTGGGTTCCTCGTATATAAGGCCATTTTTGCCTACCTAGCTTTTACCAAACCGTGTTAAGTAATTTTCAAGTACATCATTCAGAGGTTGTCTTTTCTATTGGCCTTCTGTAGTTTGCACTTGATTAAAACATGTTGGATGGTGACGAGATAAAAATTTCATATATATCTGGCATAGTTATCCAAAAGCTGGTGCTACGCATAATATTTGAAGGATTTTTTAGACATAAGTTTTGGCCTAGACGTTTGTCAGGAAATACAAGAATTTACTTGGGATTTTTTAGCAAAGAATTTTGTTGACAGCACCAAAAAGTTTCTTTTGCCTAGACGTACTCTTATTATTCAGGCTTGGTGAGACTGCATCTAGCTCTCTTCTGCCACTCTTTCGATGCATAGCTTTAATATAGTGCCTATCTCTCTCTCCACAACGAGTACGTCGAGGTTAAGCTGTCCGTAGTTTTCGAAACTTCACTATTAAAATAGGCGTTACTGATACAAACGTGATCATGCAATTAGGTTTTTATCAAAATAACATATTTTATAGCAGGGATAAGGTAGCATTTAGTAGAACTGCAGTAGATGGCCTTATGATCGCTGCTTGACACATGATTTAACAATTCAGTAACGGTCACACAATTTGTAATAAACAAATATGTTTTCGGCCCCATTCCCATATAAATGTACTCTCCTAACCAGAATGTGTCGAGAAGAAACGTATCCTTGTTAACTGTTTTTCTAAAGTATTTCTTTTAGGGACTTATTCTAGCCGTAAATCAAATGAGGGAGTCAGCAGAAAAATAAATAATTTGAAGTGCAAGATCGCTTGCCAGTAAAGTAAGCGCAGCAACAGCTGAAATAACGTTTCTCCGCGTTTCTATGCAGAACTGTTTTTTAGGTATATGCAGACTTAAGATGCAACATATAATTATACAGAGAAGTTTTGAAGAATTTCAAAGAGTCAGAACTCTGCAAGTGTGACATCTAAATCCTACTTGGATAACTAAACGAGTGCTTTCTTATATGCTGTTATTTGAAAAGGAACCGTGTTTACCATTTTGCGGCCTTTTATAGTCAACTGCCATAAACCTTTATCAGGTCGCGGTGATATTAACTGTTTACGTCTAACTTGGGGCTTACACTGCTCAGTGATAAAGGATTCTAAAAATGGCATACACTACTCTGTGGAATATTGTAGCTTGACTTAAAATTATACGATTGCCGCTTTTTGATTAAAGGTTAACTGTTCTGCGCAGATAAACTGATGTTTTTTATCAAAATATGGACGATGTAACAGTTAGTTTGAGAAATAGGCAACGACATGTTAAAGGAACCCAAACACACACGACGAGCCAAAGTTGACTGTGTTACAGGAAAAAATGGTAATATGGGTTTGATGGGCGGCGCCTGCGTATGCATAGTGGAAAGGGAGGATACGTATAGATAACTGGTAAAGTTGTTTCTCAGGCGGAAAAGTTTTAATGCAATTATATATTGCAACCGAAATTAAGCAGTAGAATTTTTAAAAAACCATTGTCTATAACGATCGCTTTTCAAATTTCTGAACTGCGGTCATTGTAGATAATCCACCAGACCGTCTACAACAGATGACCCAACCTTGTACGACAAAACACCAAACCGAAATAATCGTGTCGGAAAACCAACTAAACTGAGTATAATGGGTATCCATTTTATGCCATAGATGCTTGGGGTCCTTCTTCCAATCCGTAACGAGAAATATTTTAGTCGTAACTGACTTAGTTAAATATACGTAGCAACTGCTGCCAAACAATCAGAAGACCGCTAAACTGCTTGGTCTGCTGCGAAATACGGAGGTTGTTACAAAATTTCAGCATGCAATTTGCTCGTTTTGTATGCGAACTTCTCACACACTGGTATGCTTAAACCATTCAGGTCCACCGGGTAGCCCCGGTTGCGGCGTATTTGTTTGGACAGTAGTAGCATCGGGTTTTTAATTAGGCAAGAACTAGGACTCAGAAGTCACCAAGTTGATATATCAGTTTCTTTGCCCACTGGTCACCGTTTTTGTCTCAAAGACTATGAATGTTTTAGCTATCTTTATAAAAAACTACGTATTCGTCCCAGCATTAGCTTATGTATTGCAGCGATTGGATAAAAAGCGTCTTACTGTCTGACCGAACAGCAAAGCTTTCTCATAATATCGCCAGTATATTTACATGCTATTCTGCTGTAACTATCGGATACCTTTGCACAAGTCCTTTACATCATTGCTTTAAGCGTCCAAATAATTTAAAGCCCACTTCTTTATAATACTGTTAAATGAGGCAATCCATAGCCTCCGATATAATTTTGAACAGAAATTAGTGGTAGCAATTTGCTATAATAAAAAACATAGACGATAGCCACAAATCAGTTCAGCATCATCGCATATAATTTGGCGAAATTGTGTTCTGAAAATGTGGCCATAATATAATTCGTGCTTGTATCTTCTGTGAATATATACAACTAAGTTCCTCTGCAGTGTTAGTTCAGGGCGCTGCCGCCGAAAGTTTTTTTACGAACAGTTAGTTAGGGATATTTAACATTTATGAATGGTTCGATCGTTACTAAATTATATTTTAAATATAAAGCCTGCCGGTTTATTACTTCTGAAAATAAGCTCCGTCATTTTCCAGAGGTATTCAGATACTGTTTAACTCAACAGTTTCAATTATGCACAAGCAGAATTCTGAGAGATTTGATAAGAAATGACGCATGACGGGTGACATTAGAAAGTCAGGGACATACAAAACAGAACGAATTTTGAAGTTCATTTAGACTAATGTTTTTTCTACGATATTCAATATTAAAACCTAATTTCATACACAGTAATATGAAAGTCGTGATTATTGTGGAAAACATTCTATCCTAGTTTCTACTGAATGAAACTGTCAAATATTTTGACGATCTTTCTTTGCTCATCCAACGTTGTGCGGTTTTGGTTTATCTGCGGGTACATGTACGATCTTCCTGAAATTCGCTTACATCTAGTTTCATCTCCCTTTTAAATTACGTGCGCGTTTACTCACAGTTTTTTATAATAATTTATACATACACAGTTTACTTATGGTGCAATAGGTCAGACGCGGACACCGATCAACAGTACGTCATAGGCCATATGGAATGAGGCTGTAAGTGATAATGCCATTAGTTGGGCACGGTAAGTAGGCTATCCGGGAAACGAAGATAGAAGTATCCCAACAGTTACAAACTAGCAAATAAAAACAAAGTTGTCAACAGATAAAAATGCACGTGCTAGGTCTTTGTCTTATTCAAAGTTGTGTCAAGGTATTTTCCAAGAGTATTATAACTGATTAAAACAAAACGGACTTGAATGTCACTACAATATTCCCCCTCCCAGGAAAATGGAGTTCAAAAAAAATATTGTTAATAGAAGGAAAATATGGGAGTGTTATGCATATTGTACAAGTAGGTAACGGTCTGGGAAAACGGACATGATGACCGCTGCGCGAAGGCGGAGGAGTCTGTGGGATAAGGGAAGACGCAACGTTATTGGGCGTGAGTGGAGTCTGGGAAACAGCAACTGGCAATGTGCCGAGTGGAGGTTGTTCGGTTGGGGAAGTTGAAGGAGGCTCGGTATAAGCCGCCTTCAAACGATAGACTGAGACCACGTCGGTGCGGCCTCCACGGTCAATTGTAAAATGCTTGTCCGTTCGAGATAGTACTCGAAATGGGCCGTCATAGGGCTGTTGTAGTGGCTGACGAACGCTATCTACACGGGCAAATGCAAAAGAACATGTTAGTAGGTTCGGGTCGATGTACGACTTACTTGTTCGAGCACGTGGAGGTGGGGCTCGAAGATGGGTAATGGCACGGCGCAATCGTTGCACATAATCGCTGGCATCCAAGTTGGCTTAGCTTTGAGAGTACCCGGAAAAATCACCTGGAATCCGTAGGGTAGTACCGTAGACAAGTTCGGCAGCGGAACACTCCAAGTCGGGCTTGAGTGCAGTGCGGATACCGAGCATGACCAAATGCAAATGCTTGCTCCATGGTGATTTTTTCGGGTATTCTCAAAGCTCAGCCGACTTTGATGCCAGCGATTATGTGCAAAGATTGCGCCATGCCATGCCTATCAATTTGGCAATTGACCCTCACTGTTGTGGTGGGGATCTCATTGAATCCCATTTTGTCCACCCGCCAGCTCTCTACTGAAGACAAAGAACGTCGTGCCATCGGGCACATGTCACATAAAATACACAAGCAGCTCAATTAGAGTGCAGCAAACCGGAAGCAGACGGCAGTTTCACGGTAGCAACCGATCATCAGTGCGTCATAGGACTGACAGAATGGGCCAGACAGAATGAGATAGAGTGACATCCTAGTCACAGCAGCGAGGATCGGACGCTAACCTGACATGTTTATATTCCTTTATTCATATGGCAAATGATGTCCTGATGATCGGTTACCAGCGTAAGACAGCTGTATGCGTCTGGCCTGTTATGCTCTTAGTGTAGCACGTGTCCTGTGATGGAATGCTCATTGTCGTTAGTAGCAAGCTGGCTGGCGAGCAGTATGCGATCCTGAGGGCCAAAGATGTACTTGACATACAAAAAATTATTTTTAATTCCTCTGTCTCCTGCCCCACAGAAAAATGATCAGTTGGAAATTGGATTTCAGACTGCTTCGCAATTAAAATTAAACATCATTTTTCTTAGTCAGTCTTGCAAGTAAAATAAGGCCATTTTTACCACTGAATTCAGAAAATAAAACATATCGACCAAATTCAAAAACAAAATTTTCTTCAAGGCACGGACTGCTTCACTTCTATATCCATAAATATAAAATCTACGATTGATATGTTATTTTTTAGTTGGGCCAATGCTGACTGGATATTAAACAAAAAAGACTGTTTCAATAACTTTAAAAGTTGATAGTTTTTGCCAACTCCGGCATTATATTTAATTGTTTTTGAGTGTCGTAAAGCTAAAAAATAAATTCAATAGATAGCAGGAACACTTGCAATTAGAATTAGGATCCATCTATTTCGGCAGCTTCTATCTTCTACAAGTAACAATGACCGTGCATACCCTTAGTTAGCCCTTGAATTGTCACTAGTGTTTTCATCAATTTAATATATTTAAAGTCTAGCAATAATCTGCACATATAAAACGTCTATAACAATACTGAGATAAATTGTTGCTAAAGACGTGTAGCACATACCATAGCTCGTCGAATCGATAAAAGAGGTCAACATTTCTGATTATGCGTAATTATTTACATGTTGCAGGAAAAACTGTGAGAAGATTGCCGACTTTGACTGATTCAAGCCTATAAGAAACATTTAACGGAACAATGCTGCCATTTGAATAGCAGTTTACTATTTGAAAGCATTCAAACAGGTTCATAGATAACGTTTTGTGACAAAAGAAATATTATGTCACAGAAGGTTTCTGAGGGCCGATTTTCATACATCGCTTACTTCGAAGCCGCATGCGCCAGGAAGAAACAAAATACTTTTGGGTTTTAAAACCGATCAGTAGTTGTTTTCAGGATTGACGTTCACTCAAGATTTGTGCAAATTTCCAATACACAAATTGGTCTTACAACTCTCGGACCGAAAATGACGCCAAGTCACTATAAATTGCCCTCAAATGCTAATTTTTATTCGTTGTTCGATATGATTCCCTTAAGGAAATCAAATATATTTTCCCTGTCGCTTTTTATGTTTCTTGGAAATTAACTGCGATTTTGGAGCATTTTCGCGATGAACGTTTGTAGCTGATCATCGAAAGGTCACAAAAGGTGACTTCACCTAAATTAGTGCACGCGTTTTGCAACGAAGTGCCATTTCAGTGCACTTACTTCAAGGTTTAGATTAACATATTAAAAGAGTTTATTTAATAGATGCATAGCAATTGAAATGTATATTATTTTTATAATATAGATTTTGAGCACACCAAATATAGTGGTAAGCAGATTTTGTTCGCTTGTTGTGAATAGTAAACTCTTTTGCATACCCATAAAGGACGGAATCTTCCCTGATGCCATTCGCAACACTTATTGGTGAGTCTCAAATTGTATCATAAAGCAATTTTTTCTTTCGCATTCTAGCCTTTTTGATTAGTGAGGATAACAAAATATTTAGTTATGGTCACATTTTTGAGGAAATAAAAAGGTTTTGCTTGTGTATTTTCCAGCAGATGCTAACCAGCTGACTTGTAACCCTTTGCCTGTTTGAACCTCCATACGTAACGTATGCTGCCTAATCTTAAAAAATTGATATAATCACATATGACGGAGTCTATGTGCTCCTTAAACCTAACCAAAATGTAGGTATTTGGGTGAAGGTGAGGAGTCTAACTCGAGCTATTCCAATAGATTATAGAGCATATTAAAACATCGTCATTGGAATCACAAGGGTACTGCAAATAACAGCAGTTTCGAAATATGTAATCTCAGTTTATAGCACGAGGTCCACCAAATTCGTCAACGTTTTCTAAGCGCTTGCGGAAGGCCCAGTTGCTCCTAAAGTTCAGTAAGGTACTGCGACATTGTTTTGAAATTAATGCCACGGGTTTCCTCTGTTCACAAATGCGACCCCAATTACCGTGCTTATCTCTGTCAAATCCCTTAACATGCTTCATGTCCTTGCGTAAATCAATATAGTAATATGCGCAAGACTTCCCTGGATAGGCATACATGTAAATATGTTAACTGTGGGTCACTCATTACTTTCAAGAGTTTCAACGTCCATCGTTAAGCCCAAGTATTTTCACACTGACTTACGACGCTTGCGGTTAAATCTGACAGTGGTAATCGACTAAGCGTCTGTTTGGCTGACTACGAGTATTTCGTAAAGTTTGCCCTTGTCGGTGCATCGGTGAATGCAACTTTATAGGAAATCGTGGAAGTGGAGGAATCTTCCAAAAAATTCATGAAATCACATATGACGGAGTCAATGTGCACTTTAAACTTAACCAAAATTGCGGTATCTGGATGAAAGTGAGGAGTCTAACTCGAGCTGATCCAATAGATTATTGAAAATATTAAAACGTCGTCATTGGAATCACTAGGGTACTGCAAATAACAACAGTTTTGAAAAATGTAATCTTAGTTCATAGCACGAGGTCACTAAAATACAGTGAGTGACGATCGCATGAAATGTTGGCTGAAATTCGGAAATGTGTTTTCGATTAGGAAGGATTACTTGGTCGCGGTTATAATACTGATTATCTTGTAGCATACTCATAATTTTTCAGACTTGGTAGGATGTCGGATTTTAAATGCACTTCTTTCCAATCTCCTTCAAAAAGAGTACTTGAAAAAAAATACTACTTAGGCAGCATGTACTTTTCCCATTGATTTTCGATGGTTTTGCAAATTCAAATATATTTCATAAAAAACCATAAACAAAAATATGCTGTCTTTCAGTCAATCGATGGATAATTACGTCTTCTTTAAATTTTATACTTATGGAAGGAGTACAATTAGGTTTTAAAAAAGTTTCTAATTATGAGACTTTTTAAGACCGCGAAATATTCATTCACATAGCATCGTACCTGGCCGTTTACCACTGCTCCTCATGAAATGTACAACATGGTCCGCATCCATTGCAACATTTTATGGACTCTGTATGATATCTCTTTAATGGCATAGAAAAATGTGATTTTCTTTACGCGGAACGCATGCACCTTGTAGACTGAAATCACTAAGCGCTAATGAACGAATGACCAGGTTCCAAATTATTCGGCAAATAGAAAACCTTTTAAAACCTATTTATACTCCTTCCTTAAGTAAAACTATAAAGAAGACGTAATTTGCTATTGATTGACTAAAATAAAACATATTTTTGTTTATGGTTTCTATAAAATATACTTGAATTTGCAAGACCATCGAAAATCAATGGGAAAAATACATGCTACCTAAGTAGTCATTTTTTTCAAGTACGCTTCCTGAAGGAGCTTGGAAAGAACTGCATTTAAAATCCGACGTCCTACCAAGTCCGAAATATTATGATATGCTACAAGATAATTAGTATTATAACCGCGACCAAGTAATCCTTCCTAATCAAAAACACATATCAGAATTTCAGCCAACATTTCATGAGGTCGGTCGCTCACTGAACGTCATAGTTTTCTAAGGGCTTGCGGTAGGCCCAGTTGCTTCTTAAACTTAGCAAGATACTGCGAGATGGTTTTGAAATTAGTGCTACGAGTTTCTTTTGTTCACAAATGCGACCCGAATAACCGTGCTTATCTCTGTCAAATTCCTCAACACGCTTCATGTCATTGCGTAAATCAATGTAGTAATATGTGCAAGACTTCCCTGGATAGGCATAAGTTTAACTGTGTTACCTGTGAGTCACTTATTACTTTCAGGAGTTTAAACCTCCATTGTTAATCCCAAGCATTGTCTCAATGACTTACGACGCTTGCGGTCAAATCAGACAGTGGTAATCGACTAAGCGTCTGTTTGGCTGACTACGAGTATTTCGCAAAGTTTGCCCCTGTCGGTGCATCGGTGAATACAATTCTAAAAGAAATCGTCAAAGTCAAGGACTATTCCTACTTTCATATTGTGCTTTAACGTACAACAAAAATACAGCTTTCATTGCACGTAAACAAAGTTTCATACGAATGATGTGTGCTCCATTTCAAACCCCTTAGCAAGTTAAAACACCGCATCTGCTAGCTACGCTTGTTTGTTTGACATTTTGGTTTAAGACGGGGTCGTTTTCTTTCCTTATCTTCCATATTCCCAAGTAATGTATATCAGGCTTTACTGGCCTGTGCACACGTAGGTGTGGTTCTACTTTTAATAACATAGGTCAACGCACCCAAAATATCCATTGCCTTCCCACAAACATGATATTTATGGCAAATACCGTCTTTACTATATGGACAAATACACACTGTTGATATTCTGAGTCTACTTTGCATTAATTTAAATGCCCAAAATGAGCATAACAAGGGTTTTGAAAAACAGTCGGCATTTGTTAGAAAAAATGCGTTTATGCTGCCGTAATGATACCCGGTCACTTATTCTGACTGCATAATATTTTGATGGAAATTTCACGATGCACTTCAGTCTGCGCTTCCGTGTGCGCACCAAAAGACGTTTGTCAACAGCCTGCCTCTTTCCGTACTGATAAAATACGCATGATGATTGTCGAAATTATACAATGATTATGTCGTTTGCTACTTTTATTCCATGTTTCAGAGATGTATCTGGGAGAAGTTCGTTCGCTGTAAAATTACAATCTCTTTCTCGAAA